AACACATAGTCTATTGGGAGAAAGGCCATGCGCTGACGAGAAGGTGTGCTGTGCAGTTGGGTGAAGGCCCTGTAGCATCTGCTAGGCACATTTGCTCCACGGTTTGGTTCAGTTCAGATACTTTCTTTGGAGATCCAGACGACCTGTTCATTCCAGACGGTAGGGCTCTGCAGGCTTTATGGTGGTAAGACTTGCCAGCTTGCTTGGAAAGAGAAACACAACAGACTATAGGACCGAGAGGAGGCTCAGGAGGCAAGAGTACTTTTTGTGGACACAAGAGGACCGGGGTTCAAATCTAGAAGCCATACAAAAGCCAGGCATTAGCAACTATACCTGTAAACCAGGGCTGGGGGTGAGGGGCCGAGATAGGCAGAGTCCAGGAGCTTGCTGGCCAGGCAGCCTAGCTCAAGTGTCAGGTTCAATAGAGACCTAACCACAAAACATAAAGTGTGATGGGGGACAATGCCAGACATACTTCTCTGGCCTCCATTTGTACATGAATGGATACACACACACACACACACACACACACACACACACACACACCCCTACCCTGCCCAGAAAGGAACCCTTGATAGACTAAAGTAATAATTGTACCAAAGTCCATCTTAGTGAGCCAACAAGTTTTCGTTCAGGTTCCTAACAGGTGTATGGATGAGGAATTTCAGGAGCAATGTCTTAGGGCTTCCATTGCTGTGACGAAGTTCCATGACCAAAAAGCAAGTTGGGGAAGAAAGGGTTTATTTGGCTCACACTTGCACAGTATTGCTCATCACTGAAGGGAATCACGACATGTAGTTGGTTGTTTTTACTCTTTACTTTTTCGGGGGGGGGGCACCACCCAGCTCCCAAATAATCACACATACCCAGAGATTTATTACTTATGAATGTCCGGCCTTAGCTTGGCTTGTTTCTTGCCAGCTTTTCTTAAGTTATCCTGTCTTTCTTTTCCCTCTGGGCTTTTTACCTTTCTCTATTTCTGAATACCTCTCTTTACTTCTTACTCTGTGGCTGGCTGTGCAGCTGGGTGGCTGGCCCCTTGAGTTCTCTTCCTTCTCTCGCTCCTTGATCTTTTTTTTTTTTCTCTTTTTCTCCTTTTATTTATCTTCTCTGCTGCAGCTGCGCCTGTCCTTTCTCCTGCCTAGCTACTGGGTGTCAGCTCTTTATCAGACCACAATCAAGTGTTTTAGACAGGCAAAGTATCACAACTTCACAGAGTTAAAGAAATGCAACACCAGGGCTGGAGAGATGGCTCAGTGGTTAAGAGCACCGCCTGCTCTTCCAGAGGTCCTGAGTTCATTTCCCAGCAACCACATGGTGGCTCACAACCATCTGTAATGAGGTCTGGTGCCCTCTTCTGGCCTGCAGGCAGAGTACTGAGAATACTGTATACACAATAAATAAATAATAAGAAATGTAACATAAAAGAATGCAACACGTCTTTGCATCATTAAAACAAATGTTCCACAGTATAAACAAGTGTAAGACATCTTAAAATAATAATACCCTACAACAAGAGCAGGAACTCAAATAGGGCAGGAACCTGGAGGCAGGAGCTGATGCAGAGGCCATGGAGGGGTGCTGCTTACTGGCTTGCTCACTATGGCTTGCTCAGTCTTTTTTCTTAAAGAACCCAGGATTACCAGCTCATGGGTGGTTCCACCCACAACGGGTTGGGCCCTCCCCCACCAACTACTAATTAAGAGACAGCCAGATCTTACAGAGGTGTTTTCTCAGTTGAAGTTTGCTCCTTCCAGGAGGCTACAGCTTGGGTCAAGTTGGCACTAAGTTGTCCAGCACAACCAGAGAGGGATCAAAAGCAGCCTTATTTGGAGAGGACTCACGAAGGCTCAGCCCTGGAGCACTCCGCATGCACACCTCAAGGGCTGCTCTGCAGGCCAAGCCAAGTCCTGGGAATCTCCTCTGGGCTGGCCTGTGTCCTTCCCTAACAGTTTGCTGCTTCTAGAAAGCGGGCCGAGTGATCCCAGCAGTTGGTAAGCAGAGACAGGCAGACCTCTGTGAGTTCGAGGCCACCCTGGCCTACACAGTGAGACTCGATCACAAACACACTAGCCTCTTAGAGTCATACATTTCTTGCCTAAGTGAGTCTCACAAGCCTGTCTTTCTCTATAGGGAATGTGTTCAATTCATAGGTAACTGTCCTAGTAGATACACCTATAATCCACAGGACTCAGAAAATTGAGGCATGAGGATTGGGAGTCAGAGGGCACCTGGATTACAAAGCAAGCCCCATCCCAAAGAAACAAAACAGTAAAATATATAAATTTACAATCTTATACTGTATAAGTTTAAAAATCAAGCAGATTCTAAGAAAATAAAAAGGAGTGGCAGGTGTCCCAGGTCCCTCCCGGGTTGCACTTGAACTCCCGCCTCAGGCTACATCCAGTTGGAAACCTTGTCCTCTGTGCTTCCATCCAGTGAGTGTGTCCCCACCTAGTGGTGACAGTGTAGAATTACCTTCTCTTAGCTGGGAGTATGGGGAGGGAAGCAATTTAAGGTCAGTGGAGTATTTCTGCCAGAAGGTGAGAGAAGGACATGGGTTAGAATTTCCAAGAAAACATTTGTAACGAGTTACAGACACTTAGTACATTCCAAAATTCCAGAGAAGGACTTCTAGAAAAGGAAAAGAAGGGGGAAGACAGGACATCTGTTCTCAGACACTTGTGTGTCAAGTTTTCCCGAGCTGGTGTGGAATCACCATGCTCCTGGCCCTGCTCAACCAGCTAGCCAGTATGTTGCTCTTGCCTTTCCATTCAAGGCCTCTACACTGGGTGTCTCAAGTTCAGGGTAATTTTTTTTTAATTTGAAACAAATTCATCTTTGAGTTATGTTTTCTAAGTGGTAGGGCACTGGGTATGCATGGGCCAGGCACCCGGAGTCTCAGCACACACGTGGTCCCCTCTTCTATTCTCCCCCCCCCCCCTCCGCGCTGTTGCCTGTGCCCTGCATCCTAACCCTATCCCTGCTCAGCCTTTGGCCAGGGTGCATTGTGTCTGATGTGGACGAGGAGCATCAGCCCGAGCAGGCATGCGCAAACATCCCTCCTCTCCCAGCATCTTTTTGCTTATGAGTGCCTGTCAGCTGGCTTTACACTTTTAACTGTCAGGCCTCTCTCCCCACCACGCCTGCTAATGAAGCATGCACTTACCACAGGAAATGTGTTTGTTATCTACAGCTCTAACACACCGTCTACAGCAGCAGCGTCATAGCAACGTTTGTCGTTTTTTATTGGTTTTTGTAGGTCAGAAATGCTTGTCTTAGCTTGAAGGTTCTAGACGTTGCAGTCAGGATCGCAGCAGGGCTGGGGTTGTCACCACTGAAAGATTTGATCGGGGCTGGTGGAATTGCTTCAAAGATGTGTGCCCGAGCTAATAGCTAGAGTTCTCCATTCCTTGCTGGGCAGTGGCAGACTGGGAGGGCTCAAGGCCCTCTGGGCTGGGCTGCCTGGATGTCCTCAGGACACAGTGGCCAAGAGATACCAAGTTGTGGTGATATTTTGTTTGGGCTCTCAGAAATAAAGCTTGCCTGAGGATCAAAGGGCTGAGCTAACCACTAATTAACAATAGAGGTCTGGAGGGCTGTACAGACAGACAGACAGACAAGAAGTGATATGACTGGGCAGAGAGGGAGGAGACAGGAGCTTGGCTTTTTTTTTTTTTTTTTTCGGCTGAGGAGTTAGCGAGGTAAAAGTTGGCTGTGGCTTAGTCCTTTGTCTCTCTGATCTTTCAGCATTTCCCCTGATATCTGGCTCTGGGTTTTTATTATTAAGACCAGTTAGAACTAATCGTGTACCAGCAAGGAAGTTACCACCATGCTTTGTGGCTGAGTCTGTGTCCCCACCACATTCTCCTTGTAGGTATGGCTTCTACCTGCGACTCTTGCTGTCTTAGTTAGGGTTTCTATGCTGTGAAGAGACACCACGACCACGGCAACTCTTATAAAGGAAAGCATTTAATTGGGACTGGCTTACAGTTTCAGAGGTTTAGTCCATCATCATCGTGGTAGGACATGGCAGTGTGCAGGCAGACAAGAAGCTGTGGAAGGAGCTGAGATTCCACATCTGAATCCGCAGGCAGAGGAGGCAACTGTGTGTCATACTGGGCATGGCTTGCACATGTGAGGCCTCAAAGCCTACCACCATGATGATCACTTTCTCCAACAAAGCCACACCCACTCCAACAAAGTCACACTTCCTAATATTGCCACGCCCTATGAGAGCTATTTCCTTCAAACCACCACACTTGCTTACCTTCAGAAGGAGTGAAGAGTTTCATCCCAGAGCAAGCGTGCCAGAGGCTCTGTGCCAGAGGCTCTGTGATACGTCGAGAAGAGAGTCCTTTCCTCTCTCAGCGCTGGGACAGAACCTAGGACTTCACTTATGCTAACCAGGTACCTAGCGCTGAGATCAAATAATTACAGGGTCTCTACAAGAAGACAACAGTTTTCAGATGGGGGCCCAGCACTGAGAGGGGGAATTGGACATGAGTTCCCATGCCTAACCAAGAAGTTATCTTCAATTAACACTTGATTGCAAAGGAAAATTCAGTTCTCTCCAATGGAGTCTCACTGGGATATTAAGCACACTTCAGGGTAGCCCCATGCCCAGCAGTAGAAGGCCAGAACAAAGCAGTATTTCTGCCGACTTGTTAATCTCAGATTGCTTTGTTTGGGCATTTTTTGTTATACTGGTCGTTTGCTTGCATATTTTCATGGGTTTGTGTTTCTTGATTTTGTTATTTGTTTTATTTGATTATTTTTTTAAAGAGAGAAAGAAAGAAGGGTGTGGAGTAGGCTGGGGAGGAAGGATCTGGGAGGAGTTGAGGGGGGAGAACGCATGATCAGAATACATGGTCTAAAACTGTTTTCAAAGAAAATCACTAGATTTTTACATGGAAAAAGTATTTTAGAATACTTAACAGAACTTTGTCTACCTGGTAAAGTTAATTTATACAATGTTACTATAAAATAATGCAATGAGCTTAAGTTAATGTATTTACAGATTGCATTGAAAAGGATTAATAATTTTTTTATCTTCTTTTCTAAGATATATAAATTGCATACGCTCCAACCATTACTTTGCTTTTGTGCATGAAAAAATAGGAAACACTAGCTTTATTTTTCTAAGTTATTGAATTGAAATTGACCTGTATCAGGTTATTTATAAAGGTCATTATTTTGGTGTTATTAGAATCGATTTTGTGTCTTTGTAGACTTTCTACAGTCATTGTCTGGCATTATTTATTGTACCAATATAGAAACAAAAGTGTGCAAATAGAGTATAGTTACTGAATTTCCCCTGCTTCCAAACTTTGTCATCTGATGACTACACAGAGATTCCTACCTACTCACTTACCATGCCTCAGGCCTGGAATGTTCTCAGCAATACATGGTTTGTAAAATAAGTGAAAAAATATGAATTAATCTTTGGATATAAGTTACATTACCATACATACATGGAAAACCTTGTTAATATGGATTAAAAATTAAATGGCCTATAATTTTTTCAATAAAGAAGAAGACAGCAGTTGTATTGAGCCGCAGACCGAGGAGTTAGTTGGTGCACAGTGATCCCCAGGACTCACAGGAAGTAAAGGGAACTTTGGGTTAGGGTTCTGGGGCTCAATATCCACCAACTAACTTTTTTTTTTTTAAACCAACTTTTGGGTTTAGTGTCAGGGGAGGGTCTGTTTGAGTGGACCCCTTCACATATACTACTTTTGACGCAAGTTGACACTGAGATTTCCATGACAGCTGCTCTCTGGAGACGTGGTGGCCAAGGGCCCAGTGGCTGTACAACATCCCTCTCCCTGGGCAGCCCCTTCCTTTCTGCTTCCCTCGGAGCATCTCAGGCCTTGTGCTCTGTGAAGGTCCTCGGGCTGATCAAGTGGGCGGAGTCGGGCCTTGCTCAGGCATGCTGGGCTCTGCTGTTGAGCCGCTTGGAAGTGGGTAGGGTCCTTGTCACTGGGGTGTGGATGTGAGGCGTAGCACACCGTTTTCTGCCACTCACAGCTGCTTGCGCTGGCCCTGACCCCGGTCTGCATCCAGGGAAAATTCTGGGGTCACCTCACCCTGAACTTTGTCCTTGGCTGGGAGCATCAGGCCTGTGCTCAGGTCCCATCCATATTCAAGGACTCTGCACCCTGGGTGAGGGAAAAGATGACAGGCTTCAATCGGCAAGCTCTGAAGGCCCAGGAAGGGCGGAGTATCAGCACCTCTGTCTGTAAGGTCATGGAAGCTGCCATGGGCTCCAGCCTCTTTCCGATACAACAGTGCGTCAGTTCCACTGGGGGTAAGGTGAGCAGTTCTTGTTTTTTCTTTTTGTGCTGGAGATTGAAGCAGGTCCCGTGTGAAGGCAAATGCCTGTCTCCAGCTCACGCTGTTGCCTGTGACTTGCTCATATTTTGCTGAATATTTTTGGCCCCGTACTTAGGAGGCATTTTGCTCTTCTTTGTTTGAGATATTTGCTGGCGTGATGACAATCCTGGGCTTGTAGAGGGGCTGCAAAGAAGGCCTGCTCCTGTTTTCTGGAAGAGACTAGATGATTTGTACAGCCCTTTTCTTACAGGTCAGTGTAGAATGTGCTGGAGAGCTTGTCCCAGGCCTGTTATTTTTGTTTTGTTAATTGTTAACTGTATTATCCAATACCTATCAGAGTGTTTCTTCATGTGTGGCTTTATGTGTTTTTCAAAGAATGGGTCCCTTTCATTGGCTCACAAGGCTCATTTACAGTCACACTTAACTCTGTGTGTTAAGTTCTGTTGAGATCTGTCCTGTAATGACATTCCTCCTTTGCCGCTGGTATTAATAAGGTGTCTCTTCTGTCTTTTCTTTGATTAGCCTGGAGAGAAGTTTATTTGTAAAAAAATAAATATTTTAAACTTTTTTTTTTGGTTTTTCGAGACAGGGTTTCTCTGTGACTTTGGAGCCTGGCCTGGAACTAGCTCTGTAGACCAGGCATTGGTGCCAGATCCCCCGGAATTGGAGTTACCTACAACTGTGAACTGCCGTGCTGGTGCTGTGAATTGAACCTGGGTCCTCTGAGAGAGCGTCCAGTGCTCCTAACCACTAAGCCATCTCTTCAGCCCCTGCAAGATGCTTTTATTAACCACTTCTGCAATCTTTCCCAAGAACCAGTTTTGACGTTGTTGATTTTCTTTTCTGATATGCTATTTTGAGTCTGATTTCTGCTTTAATCTTTATTCTTTTCAAATCTATACTCTGAATTGATTCTATAGCTCAAATTGGGATTCACTTATCAAGTTGGCCTTACAGTCTGCTCTTCATCTGAAGCTTCCTGAGGTGCGGAGCATTGACTTTGCTGATATGCTCACTCCCTTGCCGTGCCCTCCCTCTGAGCTCCGCTCTTCTTGTGTCCCATTCGTTCTGATGTTTCCATTTTCATTTAGCCAAAAAGGGTTTTAAAATCACTCTAGAAAATTCTTCTTTGATATGTATTTAATGTAGAAACATGTTATTCAATCTTTAAGCATTTATGGATTTCCAAGCTGTCTTTCTCTTACAAGTTGATTTTGCTGTCTCTTGAGAGAGTTGCATGGTTTCCATAGTTTGATTGGCTGAGGAGGTTTGTAGCCGGAATGTGAAGGCTGCTGTCTGAGCTTGAAGAGGATGCATTTGTGCCAGTGTGGGACGAGCAGTCTGTGGCGTTGAACCCATCTGGTTGTTGGCTCTGGTGTGTTCAGCTTTACTGATGCCATACATGCGGGGTGTGTCCATTTCTTATGGAAGTATGTCGAAGTCTGCAACTACAGTAGTGGACTCATCTGTTTCCTGAAGCTCTGTTAATATGTATTTTTGAGACAAGGTCTATGTAGATCAGGTTGGCCTCAAACTCAGGGATCTATCTGCGTCTGTCTTCTGAGTGCTATGGTTAAAGGAGCGCATCACTATGCATTTGTATTAATTTTTGTCTGAGAATTCCGATATTTTGGTTATTGTAATGAGACCACTATTGTTTAGGGGTGATGCTGACGGGGGGGGTTGATGTCTGATGCTGATGGGGGAGTTGATGTCTTACATACTGTTTATGTTTAATAACTTTTGTTCTGTCTTTGGCTCCTTAGTCTGCCATTTGTGGTTTTGATTAAGTAGTTTCTATAATATCACTCTCTCTTTTTCTAGTGTATCACTGCCCCTCCTTCTTTTCCTAGTATTTGTCTCAACGTCCACAATATCCCTCTACAACTAACCCAAGTCCACTTTCAATAACTGTGCTGCTTCCTGGGCACCAAAGCTTCCCAGGCCCCGCAATAGCAAAGCCTTCCTGGTTCCTTCTCTCCATGAGCCTGTGTAAAACAACAGAGCTAAACACAGCACCTGTGATCGTGGCTGTTTTGGTCGGCCTGAACTCTGCCCTGGTTTCCTCTCACTTGGCTGGGACAGGCCAGCTGGGGGATCTGGCTGCAGGAATGTTCCTTCTCTCAGTTTGTCAGGGTTCTGATGAAACCTGTGCCTGCCATGCTCCAGCAAAAGGGCAGGAAAAGAACAGAAAGAGGTGAAGGGTGTGCTTGGTGGGGGAGCTCTTGCAGTGCTGGGGCATCCCTGGCAGCAGAAACACAGAAAAATAAAACCCAGGGTGCACTTGTTGTATCCCACACTGGTCATGTGCCTCGTCCCCCAGAAGCATTCCGTGATTTTCTTCTGTCTTTCCTGGGAGGTCATAGCAGAGCTCACAAAGTTAGACTTGCCAAAGTGTGGGTTCCCATTGCCTGGGCTCTGGAGTGCCTCCTTGCACATCTGTCCACACGAAGTTCTAACACACGTGTAGCCTGAGCAAGGTGCAGAACTGGCCCTTCCTGAGCAGGTCAAAGAACTGGGCAATGAGCTGGAGCAAGCAGGGCAGAGATTTTCAATGTACTGTGTACTGTGCCCAGCGTAAGGGCAACAGCCTTAAGTACAGGCTGATCTAGCACCTGCAGGGATTCAGTGTGGGGGTTCTGTGAGACTGTGAGAGGCCCCAGGAAGTAGCAGCTGCCAGACCCAGTTTTGGAAGGAGCCTTGGCTACCAGAGCTCTGCAGAAGTGACAACAGTCAGACCGTTTGTGGCAAGCATTCAGACAGTAGAAGACAGTCCAACAGCGGTCAGGCGGACCATGGAGGCTGCACTGATGGTGCTTGGGATAACTGAGGAGGCCACAGTGATGACAGTCAGTCTGTCTGTGAAGGTTGGTCCAGTGATCGCCAAAGCTAGTCCCATAGTCGTCAGGTTGACCAGGGAGGCAAGTCTGGTTGTGGTCAAGGCTGGTCTGATGATGGTTAGGATGAACATGGTGGTCCAAGGCAGGGCCAGCGAGCTCAGCAGGAGATGGGGAAGGGGTTCATGTGCTCAGGAGCTGTGGATGCTGGCACTGAGGGGTTTCTTTGCAGGAGTTCACAGCCAACCAAGGCTTGGTGCAAGGTGTCCAGGATGGCCAAGGTGCCACGTGTACCCTCTGGAGAGAAACAAAAGGGTAGATTTCCTTATCTGTCCGCAGCCACTTCTCTCTTCCACGTGGCTTGCCTGCCACTGCTCTGTACCACTGCCCGCCCTGCCCAGGCCTGCTCCTTATGTTCCTTAACACCTAGACCAGTGGTTCTCAAAGGGTGGGCCATGACCCCTGGGGGCTGAACAACCTTTTCACAGGGGTCACATATCAGATATCCTGCATATCAGATATTTACATTACGACTCATAACAATAGCAAAATTAGATTTATGAAGTAGCCACGTAATAACTTTATGGTTGGGGTCCTCACATGAGGAACTCTATTAAAGGGGTGCAGCCTTAGAAAGGCTAGAACTGCTGTAACCTCATATGCCCTGTCTCCACTGATGATGGGCTGTTCTAAGATCCTGTGAGCAAGTGAAGGCCACTGTGGGTCTCCCTGTGACCCTGTGAGGCAGGGTCAGCTGCAGGGACACAACTGGCTAAATTCTGCTGCCCTCAGCTTTGCCTGATCAGCAGGGGCCACAGGGCCTGGAGCTTTAGGTGAATCCCAGGCACTTGGCTGGGTAGTTCTTGACTATGTGGTGGGGGTAACTCCTCTCTGATAGGTCAGCTGTCAGAGCTGGGGGCTTTACGGTACAGAGGCGCTGCCTCAGTCCTGGCCCATAGTTAGCTCAGGGAACAGTACAGTCTGACTCGCCACCCCCTTGTCTGCTAGGCCCATGCTGGCTTCAGGTGGTCATAGCTGCCTGTGGTCACTGCGGCTCGGTTCTGGTCTGGAGTCTGTTTTAGTGGGGCAGGGAGAGAGGCCGTTCTGCAGACCAGAATTCAGAACAGTGCTGGAGTTTTAGTCCAGATGCCCCACAGCTGCCAGCCCTTCTGTGCCAGGCACCCTTGCCACCCTTGCCTACCCTGTGAGGGGCTCCGGTCCAGGGCATTCAGCAAAATCTTCCCCAGGGCTCTTTTTGATATATTCTTCAAGAGAGACAAAGAGGGGCTGGATCAGGTTGTGTTCCACTTAGGATGTAGAGTGTAGAGACTTCTGGAAGCTTCCATGAAGCTCCTTGGGGCTGGTCCCACATACCCTCTCCATGTTCCTCTTTATCCCCTCCTGCCCCCATCCCCCCTTCCTGTCCCCTCATATTGTCTTCCTCTCCTGTACTCCCCCACTGCCTCCCACCCCTGAGGCTGGCCACACTGGCTTCTCAGAGACCCTCAATGGGTAGGGGTGGAGCAGTCTGCAGGCTCCATTCCACCAAAGACCAGGGCACACGCCCCTGGGGAAGATGGTGGTTAAGTACTCTCAAGCATTTTCTCATCTGAACCCCAGAACACGTTGTTTATTATGAGCATCTAAGCAATGGGAAGGCAGTGTAGAAAGGAAGAACCAAAAAGAAAGAGGCCACACCTGTAATTCTAGCACTCACGAGGTGGACACAGGACCAAGATTTCCAGGCTAGCCTGGGGTACTGGGTACGCAGTGAGATCCTGACTCAAAAACAAACAAACCCAAACAAAGAGACACACCTCACTGCTTCTGAGGCTGGGCTGGGCCTCAGCTGGTCTCCAGCTCATCCCCAGCTTTTTGTCTGCCCAGCTATGCAATACCCGGCCTGACCTGGGTAGCCCATGTTCCCAGCAGCCTGACAAACAGCAAAAATGAAATCTCAGAGGTCCACCTGTCTCTGCCTCCCAAGTGCTGGGATTAAAAGTGTATGCCAGTTGTATGGTGGTGGCGCACGCCTTTAATCCCAGCACTTGGGAGGCAGAGGCAGGCAGATCTCTGTGAGTTTGAGGCCAGCCTGGTCTACAAGGCTAGTTCCAGAACAGCCAGGGCTGTTACAAAGAGAAATTCGGTCCCAACAACAACAACATCAAACAAATAAACAAACAAGCAAAAGCAACCAAAAAAATTTTTTTGAGGTAGAATGTGCCAGGCTGGACTCAAACTTGTGGCAATCTTCCTGCCTCAGTTTCTCCAGTGCTGAGATTATAGGCACCAATGTGCCAAGTCTGCTATTCTTTAATAATTTGTAGCCATGTTTATTTTTAAACTATTTTGTTTAATTTTATGCATATGGTGCTTTGCCTGTGTGTATGTCTGTGATCATGTGTATGCTGGGCCACTGCAGAGGTTAAAGAAGATGTTGCATCCCTTGGGACTGGAGTTCCAGTTGGCTGTGAGCTGCCATGTGGGTGCTGGGAATTGAACCCTGGAGCTCCGTGACAGCAGTGGGTGCTCTTTTGTTGTTTTTGCTTGTGAGACAAAGTCTCTCTACATAGCCCTGGCTGTCCTGGAACCCACAGTGTGTGCTCTTGACTACAGAGCCGTCTCCCCAGCCCTGCAGCCATGCTTAAAAGAGATGTTAGTTTAAATTCTTTCTTGGTTATCCTCCTTTGGCCTTTAAAATTTATTATTATTGCATGTGTATGCGTATGTGTGGGCATGTATGCCATGACACATGTGTGGAGGTCAGAGGGCAACATTATGTGCCTGGCTTTCTTCTCCCACCTTTTCAACGGTGCTAGAGATGGAACTCAGCTTGCCAAGCTTAGGTAGCACACAGCTTACCCAGTTACCTCGCTAGCCAGCGCTGGGCTTTAATTTCAGTTACATCAGACTCCTAAAACCATCTGGAATATCCTCTTCTCTAGGTGGCTTCTCTGAGCCACCATTCTGTATGTGTCAGTGGAGGAGCCCCTGCTGACCGAGGAAACCAGAGCGCCAGGGGTGCCATACAGGCTCCCTCAGCCTCCCAGCCTCCCTTGGCTCCACAGTGTCACCCTCGGGTCCCCTATGGACTCTCCTTGGCCCTTCTCACCATCACCTTCTTCTGGGTCCCCCAGCTCACTCTGGACCCCCCTTCCCTTCGGGACCCCCCGGAGCCCCACCAGGTCCCGGAGCCTCTGCAGGATCTGTAGCACATCCACCAGCTTCTCCTCGAGCAGCGACAGGCGCACCCGCTCTGTCTCCACCATCTGCAGCTCCAGCCTCAGATGCTCGGTCGTCTCCATGGTCTGCTGTGGTTCTGCCTGGGATAAAGGGTCTGGTGTGTTCCCTGCACCCGCGTCCCCCGGGGGGGGGTGTTCATAGCTTCCTAGCAAGGTTGCTGGCCTCCCTGACACTTTTGCAGAGATTGCCTAGTCTGGCCTCCTGCAGATAAACCACCCTGAGGCCCGAGGAGCTAAGTGCCTACCCCAAACTGTACGGTGAGCAGGACGGTGAGCAGACACGCACAGTTCTCTAGTCTAACAATTCCATTCTCTCTTTTCTATCTTTTGGTTTCTCTTCTTTGTGATATATCTGCATTGGTGGCAACAGTAGCAGTCTGCTTGACCGGCTTACACAGAAGGAACGCACTGCAGGCTAGAGGATCGTTCCATCCCATCTTGTCCTGGGGCTCCGGCTGAAAGGACATTCCAGGCATCTGCTCACCTTTCTGCTACCAGGATCCCAGGGCTGACAACAGAGAGAATGTCTGCCGCCCACCCTCTGAGTCAGGCGTGTCATGTGTCATGTGACAGGCACCTCTAGGTACAGGGTGCTCAGGGTTCCCTCTGGCCTTGGGCAGGAGTACAAAAGACCCTGTGCTTCCGCCCACTGCAGGCAGGACTAGAGGACGCCCCTTCTGGAGCCTTCCTGCTCTGTCACCTTGAAGTTTACTAAGAAAAGCGACAGCTGTGCTTCTCCTTGGGTGCACCCTGACGGCCAGTTCCTATCTCACGGTGGTCCTTCCCAAGCCCAGCAGCTCTCTCCCGGGAGATCCTGGGTATTAGGACCAGCGTCTCAGGGAGCTGCGCTGCAGTGAGAATAGAGACGCAGCCGGAAACATAGAATCCTGGGGGTTGGGGGGTCTTCACCAGACAGCAACAGCCAGGGCTGAGCTGTCAGGAGCTCACTACCTACATCTACCCACTTGACGCACTGTTACAGATGTGGAAATCAAGGCACAGAAGGTCACACGGGTACTAGAGCTGGCACTGAAACCAGGCAGCCTGTTTCAGCATGCACTGTGGGGCCCTGCTCTGCCTCCCGACTTTCTACTGCTCAGGACTCAGGCTTCTCCCCTGGGGCCCAGAGTGCAGGGTGGAGATCCTCAGGGCAGAGTTCTACACTGACATGAGACCTGGCTGTCATGTGTCCCTGGAGAAATCAGGGGCGACTTCCCCAATGGGTCTGGAATGATAGTGTGTCTAGCTTAATCCTTACCAAACACATGACCTGTAGGAACCTGGCATTTCCTGTTACCCATTCTTCCTCACAGGAACACGCCTAGTCCTGTATGCATTAGACACTCGCTGCTTGGTTTGGGCTGACGTATTGCCTGGTTCCAGAATCACAAATAGAGCCATTTGAGATCGTTAAACTAAGTTGTTAAAGCTCCATCTTTGACAATCCCTAGGTTTCTCAGTCTGTGACTCAAGGCTGAGGTTTCAGGGAGACACAGACAGAAGACAACCATGTTTATGCCTCTGAACAGTGGTGCCGGCAGCCCATGTAGCTGTCCCCCTCAGTTCTTGTAAGCGCCTGCTTTGTAACCAAGCTAATCTGGGATGGCATTCTGTAACTGGCAGGCAAAAGTTCCCACAAAGCGAAACGAGAGGAGACCACATCTCCTGCGTCCTGTTCACAGCTCTGTGAGTGGGCTATGGGGATGCCAGTCCCTCCAGCCGTAAGACCTGGGACCTTAGGGCCATGCTGACCTCCTCCTCCGGTGTCCCCAGGGTCTTTCCACTGCAGCCGAGGGTCTGCAGTTGTTCCCCGAGCCTGGTGACATGGGTCTCCAGCTCTAGGTTATGGACGTGGTCAGCACCATCACAGCGGCCGAAGGGAGTCTTGAGCTTCTCAGCTGCCTGTTCATCACACCTGCAGGGGAGGAGAAGCCAGCACTGCGGGGACCTGTTGTCCCTGTGCTCCAGCCTTGCAAGCAGATGCTGGCATGGGACCTGTCTGCTCAGCATCTTCCTGGGGCTCCTTGGCTTCTCAGAGGGACTCCCGGAGGTGTTCGCTAAACCCGGCTAACATCCTCCCATCCCCCTCACCCAGCCTGCCCCAGCCAATGGACTCCCTAGGCTCTCCAGCACACCCCAAAGCCTCTGTTTCTTCCTGGACCCTTCTCACACCATTTACATTGCTTGGCAGAACTGCCTCCAGCTCTCCTCCACCACCTTGTCTTCAAACTTGCTCCCCTCCCTCCCTACAGCAGGGGACCCAGGACAGCAAGCAGCCATCTGTTTATTGTTTTCTCAGTGGCTCAAGTTTTGCCTGGCACACAAGCAGGTATTTAACAAGTGTTTTGCATGGACATGAAGAATGGGTGATACATCCACCCCTGAAAGCCACAGAACTTTACAGTGTACTAATCTTGCTGTCCCGGACAGCATCTTGCATCCTGACCGCATGTCCTTGAAGACAGTGTTACTGACCCATCTTTGAGACAAGGAGACTGAGGCCCAGAAAAACCAGGCAAGTTTTTGAATTACCCATGGGCACTGAGCTCATTTTTATCGTCCTCTGAGAGGGTACAAGGGCAACACCTGTGGGTAGCGGAGAAAGCAGCAGCTCAGAGCCAGGCTGGGGAGGGAGGAGGACTATGAACTGTGTTGTAGGAAGTAAGGAAACCTGCAAAGTGACAGGAATAGAACAGGCCAGGGATCCAGGGAGTCATGGCTGGTGGGGACTAAATCTGCCCACAGGCTAGGTTCTCCATGGTCTTCTTATTTCATCTTGCACTTGGGGGTTTTCCACTTTTGAGCTCCCAGGTGGGGCTGCCAGGGGCCAAGGATGGCTGTACTCTCTAACTGTCAGCGTCTCATGTTGAAGCGGTGTGAAGGGCCCTACAAGGCGAAGCTGCCTTCTTGGGGCGGGGGGTGTGGGGGGGTCTGTGCTTTTGGTCTCCACTGCCAGGCCAGAGCTATCCAGCCACTTACCTACTCTCACAGCCTGAGGGCTGCACCAGAGATACCTCAGCTTGGCCCTGTGGGGGCCTGGACTGTTCCTGACAATTTTCTTCTTCGTCCTCAGAGGCGGTCTGGCCTTCCACGGAGCGGAACAGCTGCTCATCCTCTGCTGGGGAGACACATCCTCTAGGAACTGGAAACCCAATGTGAGGACCATCCAGCCCTCATGTATGACGTGAGTCAAGGGTGGCACTTTTCCCTTCCCCTTCCTGGCCCAGGGCCCTGGGAGATTGCATGGGAATCCCTGAGATACAGCCCTGCCGTCTTCTGTTCCCTCAGGCTGTGCCAGTCAGAGGCGGTCGTCTCTAGCCACAGTGAAGGTTCTGGAAGAGCTGGGACCCCTCAGAAGACAATGTGGGAGTCAGTGAGTGTATGGCCAAAATGAACTCAGATGAGGGCTGATCTTCCAGTTCTGTACTTGGGGGCTAGGATATGGGCAGAGCCAGGGAAGTTATGCCTTCTGAGTGTGACTGATCTCAGGGTAAGGGGAGCAGGCCAGGCCTTAGGGTGGCTCCAGATCTATGGGCTCTTCTGAGATTCCACACTTTCCTTTTATTCTGAGCAGTTTGTGCTGACTGACAGGACACTTTCAGACTTCCCTAGTTGAAGTAGTATTTAAAACCAAAATAAGACCTTACCTCATAGGAGACCTGGGAAGCCTGTTGACATGGGCCTCAGGGATTCCTGGCTCTGGACACCTATTTCCCCTACCTGGCTTCCCCATGGGTTCTTAGGGCCCCACTGTCTGGTTGGGACTACTATGTCTAGAGCTACTATGGGGACTTTTCATGACAATGTTCCTAATATTGACAGTGTATGTCCCTCCCTTGATTCCTCCCCCGTCACTCATCTGCGTTGTCCTGGTGCTGAAGGCAGGGTAGGTGGCAGGTCTCTGAGCCTGGGTGTAAAGGACAGAGACCCGGTCCTCGGCATGCTAGATTCCCAAGTGTCGGGTTCTTGGGAAGACACCAGAAGATGAACCTTTCAGGGGCTGGAAACCAGCCTGAGTAGCAGGGTGGGGTTTGTCTGGAGGCTGACAGTGGTGCTGATACTTCAGCCCTTGAGAGCAGGGATGAGGCTCGGCCTCACTGACCATGGGCCTGGCAGCAGGCTGGGCACCTGGGGACTGACCTTCATCTGTGTCTCTGCTCCCTGAGCAGGAGTCTGACTGCTGGGCTCCCCCTGGAGCGGCGTCCTCTTCTCTGGTTCCTCTAGTCTCAGGTTCTCCATTCTTGTTTCCTGAATGTACACTGGCTTGTGGGGGGTTTAGGGTCCAAGGTCCCTCCGACCTGTGGGCAGGGGAGAGATAGATTTTGAGACATTTCTTACTCCGCACAGGTAAGCCACCCACGATCCCACCACTGTCTTGGCAAAGTCAGGCTCCCATGGGTCAGAAAGAATGTTGAGGTATGTTCCAGTTTTCTTTGCCAACAGGGAGCAGACAGGAAACCCAACTTTAGAGAAGGAGATACAAAGCAAATCCGCAGACACTACGAGACTGGCGTCCACCCTACCACAAGAATCACGGGCAAGGAAATGCCCTTTCCGCTTTTGGGCAGTCATGTAGCAATAGTCATATTGTGGCCATGAACTAGCATCTGAGAGAATTGTCTAGTAGTTAGGTAAGAGCCCCAACATCTTTAGAGGCTGAGCTAGCCAGTCCCGTAGCTACCTAATTCTGGACTTAAGATGGTTGATATTTAAAAAATATTTATTTTTATTTTATAATTGATTTTATTTTATGTGCATTGGTGTTTTGCCTACATGTATGTCTGTGCCAGCCCCTGGAGCTGGAGTTACAGACAGTCATGAGCTGCCATGTGGGTGCTGGGGATTGAACCGGGGTCCTCTGGAAGAGCAGCCAGGGCTCATTAACTGCTGAGCCATCTCTCCAGCCCCTATTTTTATTTTATGTGAATAAGTGTTTTACCTGAATACGTCTGTGTACCATACATGTGCCTGGTGTCCACGGAAGCCAAAGAGGGTGTGGGAGCCCCTGGGACTAGAGTTACAAATGGTGAGTCACCAGATGAGTGCTGGGAACTGAACCTGGGTCCTCAGCAAGAACCGTGAGTGCTCCTAACTGGTGCGCCATCGCTCCAGTCTGAGCGGTTGGATTTTTTAATTAATTTATTTTCTGTATCTAGATGTTTTGCCTTTATGTATGTCTATAGACCACATAGGCCAGAAGAGGGTCTTGTACCCACTGGGACTGAAGTTCCAGATGGCTGTGAGAAGCATGTAGGAACTGGGAACTGAGCCTGTTTCCTCTGGAGGAGCAGCCTGTGCTTTTCAAGGCTGAGCCATCTCCCCAGCCCCGCGTGGCATTTTCAGAAGCTTACATGTTTCACTTTTGCTTTCTAAAGAGACAGCGGCTCGCTGTTGTGGTCCTTTCGGGATTACAGATGCACCACCAGGCTGGCTAGATTCACATTCTTCTTTCTTCCCACCACACTTTCACACACTTATTAATTAAAAGTATGTAATTAAACATTCTGTGTCTTGGCCATGAAAGCCTTTAACTGAGGAATCTCCCCCTCTCTGGGATTGGGAAAACCCACTTCATTCCCTGTCAGTCTTGGTACTCCAAGGTTCCCATGTTTGGGATGTTTGTTTTCCGCGCCCCTGCAGTATACAAGGTCAGATAACTGGGAAAAAACTGACATAAAATGACCATATTTATTTATTTATTTAAAGGCAGGGGGTCTCTGTAGTTCTGGCTGACATGGTCACTCTGTGGGAACAGACTGGTCTTGAACTCAGAGACCCGCCTGCCCCTGCTGGATTAAAGGCGTGCACCACCACCACCACCCAGCACGAACATATTTATTAATGAGCTGGCAATTTATTAAGCTAGTGCCCATGCCTCTCTAGCTTTACAGTAGCTCCTGTGCCCCACAGCTTCTTCAGCACGCAGACATTTCTGTCACAGCCCAGGACTGCAGCTGCTACTTTCTTTTCCTGTCACTGTGACAGGCCATTAGCAGAGACAACTTAAAGGATGCATTTGGGTGCCGGGTTTGAGGAGCTATAGTCCGCCTTAGAAGGGAGGGTATGGAGGAGGAGGATGTGGAGGGGAGGGTGTTTAGGGGAGGGTTTGGGAGTGAAGGTGTGGGGGGTGGTGTGGACGGGAGAGTTTGGGGGGGGGGGGTGTGGAGGGGAGGGAGTGGAGGTCAGGGTGTGGAGGGGAGGATAGAGGGGGATGCTGTGAAGGGGAGGGTGTGGGAGGATGGTGTGGGGAAGGTGTTGCAGGGGAGGGTGTGTGTGGGAGGGTATAAGGTGTAGAGGGAAGGGTGTAGGGGGAAGGCATGGGGGAGGGTGTGGAGGGGGGATGTGGGGGGAGGGTGTGGGGGGAGGATGGGGGAAGACATTGGGGGGAGGGTGTGGTGGTGCAGCTGTGTTGGGAGCGCATGGCAACTGGTGTCTCATGTTTTGTGAACCAGGAAACAAAGTCTGGCAATGGAATGGGGCTGGACTACATCCCAGAAGTTTTTCTGTCTCTCTTTCTCTCTTTGTATCTCTCTTTCTCTCTCTCTCTCTCTCTTGAGACAGGGTTTCTTTGTGTAGTCCTGGCTGTCCTGGGACTGACTCTGTAAACCAGGGTGGCCTCCAATTTAGAATTTACAGAGATTCTCCTGCCCCTGCCTCCCCAATGCTGGGATTAAAGGTGTGAGCCATCACTACCCAGAAAGTCTTGCTGTCTTAGTTAGGGTTTCTACTGCTGTGGTAAAACACCGTGACCAAAAACAATTTTGGGAGGAAAGTGTTAATTTCATTTTACAGCTTGTAGTCCATCATCCAGGGACATCAGGGCAGGAACCTGTAGGCAGGAGCTGACGCAGGGGCCATGGATGGAGGGTGCTGCTTACTGACGTACCCCTCTGGCTTGCTCAGCCCGCTTTCTAATACCACCCAGGACCACCTGCCCAGGGGCGGTGCCACACACAATGGGCTGGATTCTCCCACAGTAATCACTAAACAAGAAAGCGCAGCACAGGCTTGTAACAGGCAGACCTGGTAAGAACATTTTCTCAGTTGAGGTTCCCTCTTTCCAAATGACTGTAGCTTATGTCAAGTTCACAGAAGACTAGTTCCCCCGACTCCCCCACCCCGACAATGTCTTCCAGCCAAGCTTCATCCTCTTAAGGGTCCGTACACTCCCTAGACATCTTGAGACTAAGTGTTCAAGCACTTCTCATTTCAACCATAGCAATACGTAATGCCATTGTCCCCATTTCACAGAGAAGGAAATGGAGTCACAGAGAACCAGAGCAATCTGCCTACCTCATATAGCGAGGACCCGTCTCCAGGATGCCCCCTAAGCCTTACCGAAGGGAAAGGAAGCCCTGGAGTGACACAGCATAGCCATGGCCAGCTTTGGGGACTACAGGTCACACACATGAAGACAGGGTTGGCGAGGGAGCGAGGTAAGGAAAAACTTTTGAATTTCCCAAGAACCTCAGACTGGCCACAGAGGCAAAATCATTTTCTGAGGATCCCGTGTGGCTCCCGTCTGCTGACTGGGTTTCAACTGGGTCCTCCACGTCAACACAGCTGCAGAACCCCTTGTTAGGTCACCAGGGGACACCCTGTACTTCCTGTCTGTGTTCTCTAGGGGGACCCTTACTTCACTGGGTACCACTCTCCTTTGGTATCCTCAGCAGAGTGAGGGTTTTTCTGGTAGATGTCAGGATGCCCGTGGCCCAGAAGGCTTTGTTGTTGGCTTGTTGGTCCTGGAGAAATGAACTCTGGTGACTTCCCCTCTTCCTTAGACCCAGGTCTTCCGTGTTGCTGGGTGTTCCCTCCAGCTGGCCACACCCACCCCTCCTGGAACGCCACTGAGCCTCTGATAGCTTCCATGTTGCAGTCTATGGCACAACTGGCTGCCAGCCCAGGGCTTACAGTCTGACAGTAGCCAGATGTTTCATTTTCCCTTCCAGCCTAGACACTCCCGTCTTGGTTCTGTGATGCCAAGAGGCCTCAGAAGCTGCCACCCTGGAGGAGACCATGGCTTTGCTGTGTGAACTCGACAGCTCCCTCACCCCCTCTGAGCTCCTCATTTCATTTCCTGTCTTGTTCACCAGAGAACAATGATGGGGCTCTACTCTGGGCTGGACACTGGGGGTCCTATGATGATGAAGTGAAGTAATGGAGTGCCTGCCTTCATTGATATTTGGGGTGAGTTCAGGGGGCGCCCAGATGAACAGACAGACTGTGTGTATCCAGCTAAGTATTTATTTCAATGTATCCTAAAATAGTGAACACATTAGTTTTATTCATTTTATTATCTTTTAAAATTTATAATAGTGATATGATATGACTTCCTTTAAAAATTATTTGGAGCCATTGGATCCTGTCCTGGAACTAGCTCTTGTAGACCAGGCTGGTCTCAAGCTCACAGAGATCCTCCTGCCTCTGCCTCCTGAGTGCTGGGATTAAAGGCATGTGCCATCACCGCCTGGCTATATCTGACATTTTTGAAATGTATTCAGATAAAGGATAGTCAGGTAGACACCCAGACTCCTGGAGACATGGTGTCAGAAGTTACAGTGTCCCTCAGCAGGAAGGACACAGCTTCCACCATCTGTGGTGTGCTTGGGAAATGATGAGCAACTCTTGGGGAATTCCACACAAAACAAAGCACAGCTCCACTCACACAGCCTTGTGTTCTCGGAATGTTCTTTGCATATTATACTGAAAATCCTCTGCATATTATAACTGCAGGAAATTGTCCTCTCACCATGTAGAGTTCAGCTCTGATCTTAGATCATTGCTGTGGAAGTGTTTCACGTACCAATGTCTAGCTGGCCATGCAGAAGCTTTGCAGGAGAGGGGTTCGGGGGCTCATTTTCCTGACAGGACCATGGGTGTGAGAAGCCCTATCTGTAGTAATTCTCCCACAAGCCTCCAAAGCGTCCTTGAGGAGAAGCCTTTCCTTGTTCCTGATTGCTCCCTGATCTTGGCCTTGTGTCTTCCTGGCCAGTCTATTTCATGTTGGGGACATCTTGTGGACAGGTACAAGGGGGCTGCTGGTCAGCCATAAGACCATGTCTGTGACCTAGGAGGGTGCCATCTAAGGTCCCTGTCTGCACATGGCCTGCCACTATCCTGCCTTTTTCTCTGGGATCTCTCATGGTGGTGGTTTTGGCTTATAGCTGCTCTACTGTGGGCCAGTCCTGTGGCTTGCTTGCCATCTTTTTAGAGGAAGGAGGCCCCCAGCTTGTGGGGTAGGGGTTGGGGCTGAGTAGGGGCTCTATGAACCTGACACACAGTCGGTGCCCAGCAGATGCCCGCTCCCATGCTTGCTCCTGGCTTCTTTCCTGTTTACAGTCATGTCCATCTCTCATTTTATTTCCCTACATTGGTCTCACAGTTTAAATCTGATCTACACTGTCCAATACGGCAGCCGCCAGTTAAAGGTGTGGCTATTTACATTTAGAATAATTTAAAATTAAGCAAAGCTACAAGTCCATTATTTTTATAGCCACCGAACCACTGCTCACATCCCAAGTGCTCAGAAGCCATACATGACTCTGGTGCCGCTTTCGAGAGCACAGACAGAAAGAGGGGAAACTTCGACCCCATCTCCAGTCAGCACCGTCCACTCATGGACATGGATCTAAAACGAAGGCTAAAGGTAAGCAACTAGTTTGTGCTCATTTCTCCCAGAAATGCAATTCCCACTTGCGGGATACCAGCTCAGCTCCCTGCTATGCTAATGTGGCAAAAACCTGTGTTTCTGCAATGATCTGAGCCCAGAATTGGACTCTGTTCTTCATATGAACACAAAATATGCTACAATCAAGATTCTCCACACCATCCCTGCTGTGGTTTGAGTGTGTGTTGAGAACTTAATCCCCAAATCAAGATGCCGATGGTATTCGGAGGCAGGACCTTTGGGGGGAGGTGAGGGTTAGATGAGATCATGTGGGGAGTCTCCATGGGGAAATCAGTGACTTTGTTAGAATGGCCAGGGTCATTGAGGTTACCACGTGATGCCCCGCATCACCTTTGCTGCAGTGTGAGGGTCTTGCCAGATGCTGACACCACACTCTGGGGCTCCCTAAGCCAAATAAATCTCTGTTCTCTGCAAACCACCTAAACTTGGGTATTTTGTTATGACAACAGAAAACAAACTAAGAAAGCTCCAAATTTTGGAAAGAATTATTTGCCTGATGAAACCAATAGGAGGAACTGACGAAAAGCCCAGCTGGGTTTCTGGGTCAAATGACTGAAGACAGCACGCCTTGCCATGCGGAGAAAACTGGAATGACCCCTGTCCACACCCTTCAAAGGGCGGACTCGAGATCTAAGTGTGAAGGAAAAGCAAATAGAACAACACACAGCAGATGAATTTGTAACCCAGGGTGGACAACTCATTTCAAAAGCCAAAGTCACAAGGCAGAGGAACTTGATCACATCACAGCACGCTGGGGACTGTCTGTGCTTCTCGGTCAGAGGGCACAGGTATTTGGCCCACACAAGGCTTCCTGGGGCACATAGGATGATGCTCACTTTGTCATCTAAGGAGGGAGTGGCTCCCTCTGGGATGGGCGGAGCACTGTGTAAAGAGAAGCCGAGGGACCAGGCAACGTGGGCTGAAACCCAGCACTGAGCAGAAGGAGAGCACAGGAGGGGGGAGAGGAGGAGGGAGCACGAGAGTGCAAAGCACCATCCACGCAAGTGCAAAACACACGCTGTGCAGGAACACGCACAGTGGAAGGCAGAGCCCTGCATTGAGGGAGTCCTCATCATGGGCGCATAGATGCCCGCAACTGCCGAGGCGCTGAGCTCGCTGTGCGGCTTCCTCCACTGCAGGCCTGGGAGTAGGTATAGCCTATAAACCAGGCACAGCAAGAGGTCAAGAGCGATGGTTTGCATCACACGTAGTTACTACTAAGCCCTGTGTGTCTGCTGCTGTGATAAAGAGCATGGCCAAAGGCAAGCTGGGGATAAGAGGGCTTTTCATCTTACAAGTGTCACTGATGGAAGTCAGGGCAGGAACTGAAGCAGAGGCCTTGGAGGATGCTGCTTACTGGCTTATCCCCCCCTGGCTTGCTCAGCCTGCTTTTTTATACACCCCAGGATCACCTGCCTAGGTGTGGCACCACCCATAGAGCCGGACCCTCCCATATCAATCGTTAATCAAGAAAATGCCGCTAGCTTGTTTTAGCTGACATCAAACTACCCAACATCAGCCGATGAAGACGGCTGTGGAGTGACTAGTGGGTGGGTGGCATGTGCAGCATGGATACGCAAAGGGATGACAGTGGCGGCATGGGATTCAGTCACACTTCCCAGAACGGTGTGCAATGTGAAGTTTAGACACTATTTCTGGCATTTTCCACTTTCAGATTGCGATTGGCCACTGGTGACTGAATCCATGGACAATGAAACTGAGGGTGTAGGGGGGGGTGACTAGTGACCACTGACATCACAGGAGGAAGGGGACTGGGAAGAGAGGCAGAAAGCTGGTTCCCACCTCATCCAAGTTTCCTACTCAGGACACACAAGGTGCCCCAATGGCAGAGGTGATGGCCCCAAGGCAGCATGCTCAACATGAGGGTATTGTCATGTATGTCCCCGTGTATGTCTGCATCCCAGGACCTGCACGTGCCAGGCAAGAACTCTCCCAGCGACTGGCATTTAATTTAGGAACTGACAAACTCGTTCTTGAAAACACTTCAGGCTTTTAGGCGTACATGGCCACTGACGCACAAAAGTAGCCACTGAAATGCTTGGGTGACAAACATGGCCGTATGCTAAGAAAACCTTAGACAGTCTTCTCAAACACTTAGAATTTTCATGAAATCTTCATGATGTGAAGTACCCCTTTTAAGATTTCTTTAAATTATTAAGAATGAAAAATAATTCTTAATAGATTGTCCCAAGCTAGCATAGGGCAGGGTTCTGTCTTAGTGAGCTAAATGATTTCTGCCAAGCTTGCCAGAGCAGAATGTGTTTAATTTTCCGACAACCTTGCCCTCACCTTTGCTCCCAGGCTACAATCTGCCCAGCACTGCCTGAGGCCCTGGATAAACTCTCCAGTCGCTGGAATCCTGTGGTCATCCCACAGACAGGATGGCCAGTGGATAAAGGTAGGCGGAGAAGCACGTTCTGGAAACATTTCTTAGCTATCAGAACCATTTGCCCCTGGACTTTATATTCGAGGACACAAATGTAACTATTTAAGCCACCATGTGTTGGGTTCGTGTGACTTGCAGCTGCAAGTATTATCATTACTAAACCACTTACAGCACTACTTGTGGTGCGTCTGTATGTGTGTGCGAAAGGAGGGTGTGTAGACAAGAACTCTGGCACACTGCCTCATGCACAGCAGGTACTCAGAAATGCTGGCTCCTGTCCTTGTCCATGCCACCTCTGCCCACCTCAGCCCCACAGGACCGGACTCTAGCTGGAGAGGGTAGGGCATCTCTAGCACTCTGTCATTTACTTAGACCGTATCTGTAGCAAGCTCCAGCAAGGTTTTCTGTCCAGAAGGTGGTCTTGGGAGTATGGGGACCTGCTAGTCAAGGCTGAGGTCTACTGACATGGAGGGGTGAAGGCATTCTGGAGCTCACAGCATTTTACAGGCGGCCACAACCATAGGCAGAGGCCCTGTCATTCAGAAGCCTCAACCTTGCTTCTGAGGTCTCCTGGGCTCAGCATCAAGTCTTCTGTCTGAAAGCAAGTGAAGACTTTCCTAAAACATCTGCAGGTCCCTCCACAGCAACCATAGCAACCTGTCCTTGCCACCAAGAGACACATTACTGTGCTATACCAAAGCCAGGGTGAGGCATTGAGACCTCTCTTTTGGTTTTTGTAGTGGCCAGGCCAGGGCTGGGATTGGAATTCTAGCTCTAGGAATCGGAACCCAAACCTAGCTACCTGGGCGGTAGTGGCACAGGCCTTTAATCCCAGCACTTGGGAGGCAGAGGCAGGCGGATCTCTGTGAGTTTGAGACCAGCCTGGTCTACAAGAGCAAGTTCCAGGACAGGCTCCAAAGCTACAGAGAAACCCTGTCTCGAAAAACCAAAAAAAAAAAAAAAAATTTAAGTCAAAATATATGTTACTTTGGAGAAGAGGTTTTGCTTTTCTTTGCATAGGAAGTGAGAGGCTATGGATTCATTCTGGGTTAAAAACTAAGGTTTGATCAAGGTCTGAAAAATCTCCAATGAGAACAGATGACTCAGATGATTCACCATTTCAGGGTACACTTATTGCAGTTTCCTCTGAGTCTACATCCAGAACATCTTTAAGACTGCTGGCTGAAATGATCCAGCCTCACAGAATACTTCAGTATGGACTGGAACCATAATCTTAAATTTTCTTTGTGTCCCCAATCAGCAGGAAGTAGCCTAGAAAACTATACCCACATTCCCAAAAAATGATTATGAATGTTTGTTTTTATTTAATGTATTGGTTACAAGTTATTATGGATAATGGTCAGGCAAAAAGCTAAACAAAGGAAATTAGATTCAAGATTCTTGTTTTGAAAAAAAAAAAAAGGCCAGGCAGTGGTGGCACACACTTTTAATCCCAGCACTCAGGAGGCAGAGGAAGGCAGATCTCTGTGAGCTCAAGGTTAGTCTGGTCTACAGAATGAGTTTCAGGACAGACTTCATAGTTACTAAGAAACCCTGTCTCAAAAAACAAAAAAATAAAAAAATAAAAAGAAAGGAAGAGAGAGAGAGAAAGAAAGAAAAGGGAAAAAAGAAAAGAAGAAAAAAGAGATATAAATATGACAAGATAGAAAGGTAGAATATTGAATCTACTTTGAAAAGGAAAAGGGAGGATATAGATATGATAAGATAAAAGGTAGATAATTGAACCTACTTTTAAAAAGCACCTATTAGTTTTAAATGTTTTACATTGGTTTTATTTTTGTATATTATATACAAATTTTGTATATTGATATAAATTTGGGATTAATTTTGTTAAAACATATTGTACATACATGTCTAATCTTGTTCAAGGTATTGTACCTATATAGCTCATTTAACAATGCAATACAAATTTCTAGTCCTTGAAAATTAGTATTATCAACTGTTTAGGATGATAAAGAAATATAGACTAATAGTTAATCACTTAGTAGAATCAAATTTGTAGTCATATTTAGTTATGTTTTCAAGGTCAAACAAAGATATAATTTAGATAGGTCATCTTCAAACACTTCAGAGATCTACAGAATATGGCATTTAAGATGTTTTAATAACCTAGGTTCTTCTTTTTTATGACAATGAGTCATGCCTGCTCTTGGCAGCACCAATCTACTTCAGAGACGATAATTTGAGTTTACTTTCTTTATGGCAATTGTAAGCCACTGGGCAAGGAAAATGCCCCTGCCTTGACTGCTGACATTATGCTGTCCTAATTAGATAAGCAGGACACAAAATATCCTGCTTCACAGAAAAGTCTGTCAAATATGCTAGGCCTGTAGGTTGAAGATGGACACCCCAATGTTGCAGAGGAACCTTGGGTGACTGTCCAGGCAGCCAGCTGTTTCTGTCATTACATATTTTGGAAGTCGCTTGCTTGCACTTCCTGCTTACTCAGTTAATATTATTTCCTTCTTGGGTCTCTGAGGGAGCTGAAGACTAGATAGCTATGTGTTTACTACACATAGAAAGTGAGTTATGAGAGAAAGTAAATTAGGTCTAAGACTTTGGACTCACCAAGATAGGATAGATATGAAATATTTTCTCTGAATTTGTTAAATGAAATGGACTAGACATTGTTGATGTATTTATTGCCTATATATATTGTATATAGTCATTATATTTATTGTATATAGTTTCCTTATATAAGTTATAGCCTTATTTTTTTTTAGACAAAAAGGGATAAAATACATTTCAAATGTATTTTAATAAATAAAGACTGCCTGAAGATCTGAGAGTAAAACAATCCCACTGATCAGCCTTACAGACCGGGTTATGGTAACACACACCTTTAATCCCAGTAGCCACACTAGTTGCCATAGAAACCGGGTGGTGCATGCCTTTAATGATAGTGGTGCACACCTTTAATCCCAGCCCTCGAGAGGATTATAGAATGGGAGGAAACAGCTCTCACCACGCAGTTTCCATCTGAGATTCCAGGAGGCAGGATCTCCATTGCAGACTGAGGTTGAGTAAGAGCCAGTGGTTGGCTGTCTTACTTTTCGGATCTTCAGGCTGAACCCCAATTTCTGACCCTGAGCTTTTATTAACCATGCTCCAGGCTTTTGCCTTTGTGGTACGGATGGACACTGACACAGGAGTGTTCTCTCGGCCTCCAGTGGTGTGAGTCATTCTGCCTTGGACGTTTCACAAAGCCGTAAGGCTGACAGGACCCTCTGACAGCAGGTATCCCCCTGCCAGATGTCCCCCTGCCAGATGGTGTCAACATCAGACTGTAGCCTTCCCTGGAGGTCCTGGGGGCTCTACACAGTGGCTTCCTTTGCTGCGAGGTATTTCCTGAGCTGAGGAGCCTCCCGGAAATGGAGGCCAGCATATGGAAACGGGAGAAGAACAGCAGGAAAGAGCCAGGGCTGCTGCCGGGGAGATGTGGGAAAGGAGTCACAAAGAAGGCAGCATGAGGCTTAGCCCAGGGGTCCTCTGGGCATCTCTGCTGGGTTCTGTGGGGGCCCGTGGCCTTCCAGCTGATCAGCACATTGCCGGTACTGTCCTCTGATCCCCCACAACATATTGTGGGACAGCCCTGTCCTTAGCAAGAACGGACCCAGACCTCATGGCTTAGCCGGCCCCAGCAGGGAGACAGACTTAAGGAAGATGTCACAGAACAAGGGATGATGGGAAGGATAGACTGTGGAGGCAGCAGGGAACTGCTTTAGTGGGGTGGGGAGTCTCTCAGAGACCTGTGATGCCAGGGGAAACTGACCTAGGGGCTGCAGGAGGGTGTGGTGGACTCATGGGATGAGTGTGTGGGTGGACACAATGCAGTGGGCTGTGGCAGCGCAAAGGCCAGAGGTTGGATCACTTGGAGCTAGGAATGCATGGCAAATAGGCTACAGAGGCTGTGGTTAGAGAAGCTCAGAGGCCACCTCTGCCCGAGTGTGTTATCAGTGCCTGGAAGGGAGCTAGGCACAGGGTAGAAGCCAGGACAGTCACCGGGAGGCAGTGCTGGGCTAGGACAGGCACAAGACAAACAGACAGAGCCAAGGGCAGCATGTGGGGCTTTCTGCCTACTTCCCACTCCAACTTGTATGGCTTGTCCTCATCTAGGCCAAATTCCTCAGCCCTGTGTTCTGCATAGCATGTAAGCCCTGTTTTCTGTATATCATGTAAGCCTGTGTTCTGCATGTCAGTCCTATGTTCCGCATTCCAGTTCTGTGTTCTGCATATCACGTCAGCCTGTATTCTGTATATCACGTCAGCCTGTGTTCTGTATATCACGTCAGCCTGTGTTCTGTATTTCATGTCAGCCTGTGTTCCGCATGTCAGTCCTGTGTTCTGCATGTCAGCCTGTGTTCCGCATGTCAGTCCTGTGTTCTGCATGTCAGCCTGTGTTCTGCATGTCAGTCCTGTGTTCTACATATCATGTCAGCCTGTGTTCTGCATAGCATGTCAGCCTGTGTTCTGCAGTGCGTCTCCCTGGTCCAGATTGAAAGACCCGAGTGATATGTAACCTAAATGTCAAGCATTACCCCAGATAAAAGCCACTTGCAGTGGGCAAGGCATCCCCAGATTTAAACACTGACTCTGGCTGCTGGAGACAGGGCCTCTATATGGTTAATAGGTAAAATGAGGTTTTAGGGTGATCTGTCATCCAGCTTGTGGAGCATCCTGGCAGAAACACTCAGAAGTGGGGGTCAGTATTGTTCTCATCACCTCATTTTACAGATAAGTAGACAGGCTCTTGGAAGGAAGACTTGCTTAGGGTCACGCACGCTCCGCAGCTCAGTCCTGCCTCTCCCCTCCCCATAGAGAATGCACACCAAACTGAGGAACAGAAGTCTTCCCCACTTAGCGGATGAAGAACGTGAGCCGACAGGGGAAAACACCTCTGGGTCCTGCATAACACATAGAAAAAGCTGGAATTTGAATTCGGGGTATTCAGGCCTCTGAGCCTGAGCCTCTCCCCAGCTTGTCTCTGCTTTGGGCTTGTTCCATTGTCCCTGAAAGAAGGGCCTGTTCCTACCAGCAGCCACCCACATGGCCTCAAAGGACAATAGGGCAGATGCCCCGGCCCCACTTTGTCCTTTTCTCTGTCCTTCTGACTGGTTGGCTGTGGCCTCCACATCAGGCAGGCTGTTGCAGTCAGGGAGAAGAAAGGAGGTAACCCTTGAATGGCCTCATCTTTGTGTGCCTTACATGGAGGTCTGCAGACTGAACCATTTGTCCTCTGTCTCTGTCCCTTCCTGGCTTTTTCATCCTCCTGACAACAAAGCCACAGAGGCCAGGCCAGCCCCCTGGCCCCACTCAGTGGTAGGAGGAGAAAGGGGGTTCTGTATCCTTTCCCGGATCTGAGCTCCTAGCCAGGTGTTCTGAAGGCTGGAGGCCGGCAGGGGAGGTCTCAAGAGACAGAAAGGCTACAACTGCACCACGGATTTCACACCTGGGGCCAGAATACCCTTCCTCAGTGCTGCCCTCAGGGCTCCAGGCCACTCGAGACAGTCCGTCCTCAAGCTTCTGAGGCATTTCTGAGGCCAGCACCCATCCACATGTTCTCGCCAGCACTCAGTTCCTCATGCCATCTGGCTGTGTGTCAGCCTGGGTTAGGTCTGGGTCACAGAACACCAAGTCTGCTGTTTCCTTGGAGGGAACAGTTAGGGGAGGGACATTGGGCATGATGATGTGTCTGTGAACGCTGCCTAGCAAGCGCTAAGGTGTCTGAGCAACACAGAGTCCTCCCAACAACCCTCTGTGCATTTGCAGACAGGAAACCTGGCATGGGGACGAGCCTGGCTTATGTCTGATCAGGTCCCTTTTTGGGCTTTGCTATCCAGAGCCTTGAAAAGTCCCAGGTAGGCTGCTCCTGGGACGAGGATGGGAATTTGTGCTGTGAGATTGTGGTGGCTTGAGAGAAAAGGGTCTTCAAAGGGAGTGGCACTATTAGGAGGTGTGGCCTTGTTGGAGGAACTGTGTCACTGTTCAAGCTACTTCCACTGTTAGAGACCACTTCCTGTTGTCTTCTGATCAAAATGTAGCAGCGCCATGTCTGCCTGGATGCTGCCATGCTCCCTGCCACGATGAGAATGGACTGAAATTCTGAATTGTCAGCTGCCACCTCAATGAAATGTTCTCCGTTATAAGAGTTGCTGTGGTCATGGTGTCTTGTCACAGCATTAGAAACTCTAACTAAGACAGAGATCATGAGCTGATGAAGCTGTGTGGTGTCTGTATGTATGTGTCCACATGCTCCCATGAGGCTGTGGGTGTCTGTATGTATGTGTCCACATCATCGTCCTCTTTGTGAAGGTCCCAGTCCCAGAGGATGTCAGGCCTTGCTGTGGTTATAGTAGTGAACATATGGTTAATGAGAGCATCAAATTATCCTGGCCTGCAAGATGGATTCAATGTGAGACATATTTCCAAGGTGGCCCAGAGGCTCAGTTCTGGACTTCTATGGGGCAGCTTAGGCAAGGGATTAGATTGTGTACTCTGCATGGTGTGGGGAGAGAACCTGCCTGAAGGTGAAGTCAATCCCAACAGACTGTTGACACTGTTTGAGACCTGGATTCAGTCACACCTGATGTTGGACATATGTAGGCTTTTCAGCTCTAAGGATTAACTTTGTTTTCACAAGTCAGCTCAAGTTAAGTTTTCTTGCATTTATCCAAGAGAACTGGCTTATAGAAAGGAATGAAAGATAGAGAGACAGAGAGACACAGAAACACAGAGAGAGACAGAGAGAGAGAGACAGACACAGAGAGAGAGAGAGACAGAGAGAGAAACCGGAGTGAGATGGGTATGTATGGTTGTGTCTAAGTTGGGTGAAGGGTCAGTGAAGCAGCTGATCAGGCAGGGTTAATAATGTTTTATGAATGGTGGTACATGTGTTCCTTCTGTAGCTGTTTCTTATGGCAATGCATCCTCTCTCTTCTTACCACACTGCTACAGTCTTAGAGGCAAAAACCTTTGCTGGGCCCAGGTAGACTGCCCTGTGGGACCAGAGAAAGAAGAAGCTAAGACCTTGGTTCATGTGAGGCAGGTGGGAGAGGGGCCAGTCTTGGGGACCGGAGTTACATGGCTGTGATGAGGTGGACACTCCCCTTGGGAGGACTGCTGATCTTAGTAGGTGGGAACCTGGCCAAGTGTGCTCTTGGGCACGCTATACCCCAAGGAGACCTGAGACCCTTTTGTACTTGGGGACTTCTGTCTGACTTGGGATCTTCCAAGTCTGAAGGCACCAGCAGCAGTTTTGTGGCCCCTCTGCACATGAAACTTATGTCCTAATATGTGTGATCAGGACCTGCCTCTTGGGGCCAGAAGACCATCTGAATATGGTGTTTATATTCCATTTCTGTATCCTTGAGGAATTTGGTACACGTGGTGGTTTGGATGAAAATGGCCCTCATGGGCTCATAGGGAGTGGCACAGTTAGAAGGTGTGGCTTTTTTGGAATAAGTGTGTCACTGGGGGTGGGCTTTGAGGTTTCAGATGCTCAAGCTAGGCCCAGTATCACTTTCTCTTCCTGCTGCTGCTGATCCAGATATAGAGCGCTTAGCTACTTCTCCAGCACCACATCTGCCTGCATGCCTCCATGCTTCCCACTATGATGATAATGGACTAAACCTCCAAATTGTAAGCCAGTTCCAATTAAATGTTTTCCTTTATAAGAGTTACTATGGTCATGGTGTCTCTTCACAGCAATAAAACTAAGACAACACAGGTCTTAGTCCACAGAGCATACTTATAAAGTATTGTTTAATCATTAAGTGAATTGTGTAAGTATTGGCTATATTTCTTTAAGTCGGTGGGCAAGGTGGTGGCCTGAAACATTTTGGAAATTTTCCTTCCATCTACAAACAGGTATCATGGGTAAAATTTAACATGAAAAAGAACAAAGGAAAGTAAGAAGAAGCCTCTAGTTCAATTGAGGAGCAGGAGATGGTGCTAATAAAATGCCCACAAGGGTGGCATACAAAAGAAGACAGCTTGCTGAGCCAGCAAGAGGCTCCTGCAGATGTCAGAGTTCTAATGATGTAAGATGATAAAAACTGCACTCCCAGGCCTGGGGCTTTGCCCCAAGGTATGAGTCTTAACCTCTGCCAGGAATAAAATGGGAAACTCAATTCTAAAAAGCCAACTTTAAAGTGGTTAGGATTCCATCTTTCGTTCTCCAGGCTATGGTGAAGATGGGGAGAGAACTCCAAAACCCTGCTTCTATCTGGGACTCTCAAGAAACTACACAGCATGCCAGGGATGCATCATCACGACAGAGACAGCAAGCGTAAAGCACTTGTGGAAACTCAGACACAACAGCAATCCAAAGAACAAGTGTGATTGTCTCAGAGTCAGAAGAATGGCTTCTGGATCTCCGTGGACACCAAAATCCACAGCTGCTCAATCTTTGTATACATTGGTGCTGTGTTTGCACAGAATCTTCACATATCCCACACTTTAAATCATCTCTCCAGAGCTTATAACACTTAGCATAACGTCAATGCTGCATGCATGGCTGTAACACTACGTTGTACAGGAATAGCAACTCCACAGAACTTTGTTGGGCATAGACATGGACTTTTCTGGCATTATTGGTCTCCATTGATTGAATATGGCATAGAGAGGCCTTGTTTAACAGAAGGCTGACTGTATAAAACTAGAGAGGACTGGATGGAGTCTACAGCACAGGACAGAGCAGGATGGAATAAGAACTAAACGAAAGTTGTAGAGACAGGAAATCGGGCGGCCATTGCACAGAAGCGGCAGAGTTTCGATTGCAGCTGGGGACAATCTCGTTCAGCTCGGTTCTTGATCTGTGATTTTAATAAAGCTACCAGACCCTTAGCTGACAAGGTTCCAACTCCAGGGCATTCCTTAATTAGCACCAGAGTGGAAGGTGCTTTGAAAACTAGAACAGGAAGTCAGGCCATTGCAAATGGCTTCACGCTGTCCCCAAGACATATCTTCAGAGCACTTGGAGCATGTTAGCACGGTGTCACCTCTGAGGGCACCTATGCTTGGAGTGTGGTCCCTTCCTCCCATCTGTACCCCCTGGATGCAGCTTTACCCCCAGGGACATCTGAGCACCTGGGATGTAGCAGCAGAGGGGGTGGGTAGCTCACAGTCTTTCCATTGCGGTTTGAATGAGACATGTCCCCACAAGCTCATATGTTGGGGTCTGAGTTGCTAGATGATGAGCTTTGGGGGAATGCTGGGATCTTGAGAGCTCTGACACAGTCACTACACTCAACCTCTTGATGGACTCACAGCACAGTGGCGTTATTGAGGGTGGTGGGAGGGAGGAGGCCCGACTTGCGGACACAGGACACTGGAGCACACTCTTGTGAGCTGTAGTCGACTCTGGTTCTTTTACCCTCCTTTCTCTCTGCCTCGTGGCGATCACATGGTGGGAGGTTTTTGCTATTTGCTGTTGTCGCCCAGAATCAGTGGACCCAAGGACTATGGCAGAAACATCTGGAACCACGATCCGAAATAACCCTTTCCAGAAACATCTGAAACCACGATCCGAAATAACCCTTTCCACACAGAGCCTGACCACTACACCCTCCCAGCTGGTAAAACATCCTGTGGCCGTTTGGTGGGGGATGAGAGCAGCAGGGGAACCCAAGAGGACTGTGCATCTTACCAGAGCCAACCGTGTGGCACTGGGCTGTGCACGTGGGTTTCAGGCCTGTCTGTTACTTACTGGGTCCTGCTAGCACACGTTTCTCTGGCTTGGCTTTCTCATCTGCGATGCAATAAGAATGACCTTCAGGTTGGGTTTGAGCTCCCAGCAATAGCGTGGAAAAGGTACCTGGGCATCAGGTGAAGCTTAGTGGCTGTGGCGATTCTTCCTCTTTCTCATCCCTTTCTTTGCAGATGGAAAACTTTGGCAGAAGCCGGTCCACAGCCTGCTAGCCTTGGCTACTGAAGGTGAGCAGAGAAGGCCTGCCCCCCCCCCCCCGAGCCATTCATTCACCTGGTCATCGTGTGACCCTCACCCTCTGGTTCTTGGTTTTCTCCTTCCAGACTCTAGGCTGTCTGGCCTTTCCTCTTCTCTCCAGCTTCATCCCTCCAGATGTGTGGTGTTTCATCTGAGGCTTACACAGCGGCTATTTCCTCTTCATGAAGAGTGGAGCTCTGATGGCATTTGGGGCTCATCAGTACATTCAGACACCACTGTGGGTGACAGTAGAAAATGACACAATTCTGCCTAGTGAGATCCAGGTTCAAGTTCTGAAGGGGAACACAAAGGCACAGGCTCCCTGGAGAGCATCTCCCTCCTCCGGCGTTGCCTGTTCTTGTGCCTGCATGGTGAATTCAAGGCCTGTAGGCGCTGTGTCTGCCTTGTTATCAGTGGACAGCTTCGAACAGCACACAGGTAGAGTAGAAAGGAGAACCCTTCTGTGGGGCAGGCTGACCTTCCCTTCCTGCTTTCTGGCTGCAGGACCTCAGGGATGTTAGCTTAACTCCTCACAGCCTCTCTTTCCTTCCCACAGTCTGTAAAAGGAGGACTGAGATCTCCACCATGCACAGCAGTTTTGAGGCTCAAATGCTGTGATGGGCAGGAATCCACCTTTTCTATTGTGCGCACACCTCATGCCGTAGTTGTCTTAAAGCAGAAATAAGTAATTGTGACTTTAAGGCAAAATGAAGGCGACCATTTGTTTCTCCTCATAGACATGGCCCTTATGTCAACCGGCTCAGATCTGTAGCCCATCAGCTATGCAAACAGGAAGCAACTATCCAAACATTTGGAGCTGCAAGGGGCTGGCCTGGGTCAGCCTCTCGCGGCTGTGAGTGCCTCAGAAGTCAAGGGTGAGGTGCCTCCTCAGAGGGCATTAGTTCAAAGCCACCTCTTGGGCTGCCTCCCCGCCTCTGCCCCAGCCTGGCTCAGATCACCCTCTCTCAGGGGAGAACTGTCCTCACTGGCTCCTCTAGGCCTGTCTCCTGTTCTTTGTCCCTCCTCTCGGCCCCGTCACAGCTGAAACGGGGTCGTTTTTGTTTTGTTTTTGTTTTCTTTCTGAAATGCAATCTGCTTGAGCCACCCTGGCTTGAAATATTTCCACACTCTCTAAGGAGAAGATCAAGGTTATACTCCTTCTAGGCTCCAGATGCCGGGCCTTTCCCGGGCTTCTCCAGCTATATTTCCCCAGCTATACTGACTTCCATTTAGTTTCTGGAGTGTGCTATGGTGGCTCTGAGCTTTGCCCATACTGTTCCCATTTTCTCAGCTTTTTGCTCCCACTTCTGGGGCAGGGAACGGGCTAAGCCTGCAGCAGGAACACAGCTGCTCTGTGCTCTAGCAGTCCCTAGACTGCCTCACATTGTCCCCTGTGGAGGGCTCCTGATCCCTGATCTCAGCTCACGACTTGGCTTTTGATCTGTCCTGCTCAGAGTCACACCCCTCACCAGGTAGGCAGTGGCCCAGGGAAGGTCTCAGAGGCTGTGCAGGTCAGGGAGAGCACCCAGCACAGCCAGGCAGAGTCTCACAGCCTTTCTATTCTGCAGAGTCCAGTCTGCTCCACCCACGAGCAACAGCCTGGAGGAAAGCTGGTGACTTGCCAAAGTCACACATCTGTCAGCCGTCTTGCCAGAATCAGTGCCTTCTCCCGAGTCTAGCTTCCTGCCCTGGTCCAGACAGCACAAAAGGTCACTCTAAATCTGTTTCCTATCTGAAGAATGGGGTCACAACAGGCCCCTCTTCTCTTGGCTGTCCTAGGACTAAGGGCTTTGCTCAGGGCCCCGTACACAGCATATAGTCAGTGACAATCAGGATCAAATTGAAGAACTAAGAATGAGTATCTCTGATTGCAATCTATGAGTAGCAAGTAAAAGGATTTCATGGATGAATAGGAGGGTGAACGGATAGAGAATGGACCAATGGACGGTAATGGAATCCACTATGATGTAAGAAATGGAAGAATCTATGCATGAATGTCAGAAGACAGAAATGGACACGAGAGCGCTTGGCGGAGTTGCACACCTAGGTTTAGAGAACAGCACCAATTGCTGCTCTGCTCACCTGTAACGTCTGAGCTCCGCCTCCAGCCGCTGCACCTGGCGCTGCATGCGGGGAACGCGCCGCGCCAGCGCCTCCAGCTCCCGCACTCGGTGCAAGCTGCGCCGCACCGCCTGGCGGGCCTCCTCGGTGCGCAGCCGCACCTCCACCTGACCGCGCTGCAGCCGCCGGGCGCGCGCCTCTGCTTCTGCCAGCTCTCCCTGCGCGCGCTGCAGTTTGTGTGCTGCTGCTTCCGGGATGTCCGACTGGCTCTTCCAGAGGCCGACCTGCCCGCGGGAAGCAAGAGTGAATGCCCACTCCAGGAGCCTATGGGACCTCTCCTTACACCACAGAGCTCGCTCACTGATCAGGGACACGAGCAAGTAATGCACGTGTGTGCAACACCCCCACCTCCCCCGAAAGCTGGGACAGGAAGTTCACAATCTGTTCTTTGTATGGTGACAGTAATTCCCCAAAGTCGTGACTTCTCGGCCTAACTCTTGCATCCAATGTATGCAGCTCCTACTTCTGTGGACTCAAGGCACAGCCTAAACATCAACGGGTGTTTCCGCCCTTCCTGAGATCTGTGTACTAGGTCTGTTTTGTTTACTGCAGTGTTCAGAAGCATAGAGGGAGCTGGCACAATGTACCTAGAAGACTGAGCATGAAGGATGGACAGACCCTTTTAGTCAGTTTCAGGCACCCACACATGATTGCGCCCTTCGAGGGTTCCCTCTGCCCGGTCTAAAGCTTCCATGCCACACATACGAACCACAGAGGCCACCTTGCCAGTTTTTTTAAAAAAAATATTTTATTTTATTTTTTTGGTCCTCTTCCCATAAGAGACTTTTTCTCCCTTGGCCAACCACCTGCACCGCACTCAACACTGAGCTGTGCACATGGTTCAAGCGTTGGTGGACTGATCCCACAGGCCAGGCTAACTCTGTAGTTAGCTCAATGCCTCCACCTCAGTAGCTCTGAGTGGGCCTGGCCCTCAGGGCTAGCCATGCTGTGTCTTTCTCACTTGTGTCTGAGGCCTGGCGCTGAGAGATTCCACAGGTTTCACTGACTTGGGGAAGGGAGGTCCTCTTCTCTGTTTCCCCTAAACCTCCCAGGAGAAGAACGCTTGCTGACCCGTCTTTTTTTTTTTTTTTTTCCGAGACAGGGTTTCTCTGTGGTTTTGGAACCTGTGCTGGCACTAGCTCTGTAGACCAGGCTGGTCTCGAACTCACAGAGATCCACCTGCCTCTGCCTCCCGAGTGCTGGGATTAAAGGCGTGCGCCACCATCGCCCGGCTGACCCGTCTTTATGTGGCTGCCTAGACAGGTTCCTTCTTGGGTTTAGAAGGGACAGGGCTGTGAAGCTGGAGTTTTAAGGAATGATAAGCTGGGGTGCAAGTTGGAATGAATGGGGTGGAGTGGGGAACGGAGAGGGCCAGCCGAGGAGGGAGTGGGCCAAGGTGGGGGTGCCCCTGTCTCCACCCCCTGCATCCCGCGCACCTGCAGGGCCAGGCAGCGCGCATCACTGCTCTGCAGCGCAGCGCGGAGGTCCTCCACCAGCTCGCGGAGGCTGCTGTTTTCCTCCTCCAGATGCGCCACAAGCTCTCCACTGGCGCCGCCGTGCAGGCTCGGCGAGCCAGGCCGGCGGCGGCGGCGACGCGGGCGGCGGAGGCGGATCTGCGTCTCGATGTGCTCGCTGAGAGCTCCGCGGGGCAGCCGGGGCCCCGCTCGGGTACTGAAGTAGCCGCAGAGGCGTGCGTGGAACTGGCGGAAAGTTAGTTCGGGAGGGTCGGCGCCCAGAGCCAGGCGCGCCTCTTCCCTGACGTCCGCGTCCCCACCGGCAACTGTTCCCGCAGCCGAGTCCTTAGCGGCCGCCTCCGCAGAGTTTGCGTCTTCGGTGGTCGCCTCCCCGTCGGCGTTCAGTCCCAGGACAGCACACAGTGCGCGGAAGTCGGCGCGCGGTAGGCGCCCGGCGCCCCGGCAGTCCAGATGGTGGAAGATCTCCTGCAGATACTGGTCCAGACCCGTAGCCAGCACCACGATCTCGTTCTCCACGCCGCGGTCTAGCCCGTAGTGGTGAGCCAAAGCGCTTAGCAGCCACTGCGTGCGCCGCGCGGGTCGCCGGTACGGGTCGCCCGCCGCGCCCTCCATGCCCAGACCCAGGCGACTCTTTTTGGGCCCAGCGGCGCCTTCAGACAGCCGCCGGCGAACGCGGAGGGAGGGGCCGGGCGGCCACCGCCAGGCTGGAGAGGCGCGGGACTCTTTCCAGGCAGCTGCGTGGGCCGTGCAGGGCATCTGTGTTTGTCTCGGTTGGGGGCGCTGGAGCAGCGTGCTCTCACTCTGGGGCTGTAACGGCCTTGACCCGTGCTCCCCATCGCTCCCCATAACTCCCCATTCGCATCCCCATCGCTGTTACCAGTCGCTGGGTCGTGGGAGAGCTTCCGCCAACAGTTGTGCTCTCCCGCACAGTCCTTGCCCCGGCAACCTGCCTGGCGTCCTCTGCCCCTGGAAGTGGAGAGGCCTCATCTCCCGACAGCTTCCTAACTCCCCCCCCCCCCTCCTCCATCTAGGACCGAGGAGGAAACAAACTTGAAAGTAGACCAAGTTAGGGTTTTGGTGAGGGGAAAGTGGTGTCTACCGCTGCCACCTTCGGGCTCCAGGAAGTTACTTGGTGCTAGACCTGAGTTTTTTCTTGCAGGCGGGGATGAGGCAAACTGGGTTGTTTGGCCACTATTTTCTCTGGTGCCCTAGAACTTGAACCTGGGAGATGGACGACAGACCGCTTACTCTTGAGTTCTAACAGGCTTTTCCTTTCTCTTTCACAGAGACCTGTGGTGTTGGCCCCACTTGTTACCTACTATAGGAACATTTACCCAGCCATAAATGGAGCAAAAGACAAACTCAGCGACCCTTGACTATTAGAAAGGCAGATCTTGTCTTGTGTACATCTCTTATAAGTGTTAGGTCCCAGTTGAAAAACATTATCATTTCTTTCTTCCATTACAGCACCAGACTAGCACTTTGTCCTTTATCCTATAAATTAGCTCCCCCCCCCTCATAAACTAGCTCTTGTAGACCAGGCTGGCCTCAAACTCTCAGAGATCTTCCTGCCGAGTGCTGGGATTAAAGATGTGCACCAGCTATCCAGCTATCCTACTCATTCTTAAACACTTTGTTCAACCACCTCAAACTGGAAAGGAATCAGACATCACAAACATGTTGTATGTGTGTGTTTGTGTGTGTGTGTAAGTGTGTGTGTGTGTATGTGTGTGTATGTGTGTGTGTGTGTATCTCGATGGCAATTTAGTAATTTACATCAATTCCACTTCTTGGCGTCTACCTTAGAAAACCACACGTGTGTGTTCATTCAGCACATTATTGCTTACCATGGCTAGAAGCTGATAGAGCACCAAACAAGGATGAGTGAGGATACACGCCGCAGCAGTTTGGGAGTGCTAGAACATATGTGACTAACAACACTGTACAAAATATTACTAGATGTTTTCTGCAGAGGCGCAATAAGGAAGTGCATAGGAGATTAATGCAGCTACAGACAGATAGAGTTGCTATTTCTGGTGATGGCGAAATTTTTGCTTTTAGTGCACTCTTTTGCTTAAGCTAGAGATTGCACCCTAAGATGCACACATCAACAATTTTAGTATGTTACAGTTGCCAAACCACAACTACAACTAGTGCTTCAGCATTTCCACCCCCTCAAGTCCACCCCAGTACTGCTCATTCTCTGGCCATCATCCCCCCAGTCCACCCCAGTACTGAGCATTCCCTGGCCATCATCCCCCCTACTTGAGTCCACCCCAGTACTGCTCATTCTCTGGCTGTCATCATGCCCCCCCCCCAGTCCACCCCAGTACTGCGCATTCTCTGGTCACCCCCCCCCCCCCCGCAGCCCACCCCAGTACTGCGTGCGCATTCTCTGGCCGTCGTCCTTCAGTCACTGGCGACCACTATGCTCTGAGTCCACTATTTATCTCTTCCAGACACTCTCATATCTGGAATCATACAGAAGGTGGCCTTCTGGGGCCAGAGAGATGGCTCAGTGGTTAAGAGCCCTGGTTGTTTTTCCAGAGGACCTGGGTTCAGCTCTCAGCATCCACAAGGTGGCTCCCAACCATCTGTAATTCCAGTCCCAGAGGATCTGATACCCTCTCCTGGCCACCGTGAGCACTGCCTGCCTACAGCACACAGACGAATACAAGCAAAACACCCATACACATAAGATTTAAGAAGTTAAAGGCGGTCTTCTGCGGAGCAGGCTTTTCGGAGGCGTACTAACATGTTTGTGTTGTACTGTGTACTGGTACTCTAATTCTCTTTTAGTGCCGAGTGATGCGCCTCTGTGTGGACAGAGCACATTTGCATTATTCATCCATCAGCTCACAGGTGTTGGGGGTGTGTTGTGAGCGATCCTGCAATGGATTTTTTTTTGGGATGAGTTCACATAATTTACTCTCTTTTGGGCATATACTGGAGAGTGGGTTGGTTGCTGTGTTGGTTTATTTTGTCGACTTGACAAAGCTGGGATCACCTAGGAAGAGGGAATGTTGACGGAGGAACTGTCTCTATCAGACTGGACTGTGGACAAGTCTGTGGGGCGTTTCTCTTGTTAATGATCGATACAGGGGGCTCATTGCACCATTTGTGGTACCACCCCTGGGCAGACTGAAGAAGCCGTGTAGAACAAGCCAGTGGACAGCATTTCTCCATGGCCTCTGCTTCTGTTCCGGCCTTGGACTGGCTCAGTGTCGGCTGTATGGCAAACAAACCCTTTCTTCCCCACGTTGCTTTTGGTCTCATCATTTATCACAGTATTGGGCAGCAAATTAGGCCAGTTGGGCCCTGCGGCAGTTTGAGGTCTTCTTGAGAATGGCCCATCTCTTTTCCAAAGAGTCCTCCCTGTTTTCCCCGACACTGACAGTCACGCCATGCGATTTCTAGTGTGTTGAGTGACACAGAGATTGTCAGCTTGAACTTTCTCCGCATCGGTTTCTGGTGTCAACCTCTTTCTTCAGGCCCGTGCCCGTCAGCTTCCCATCACTGTCACAGGTACCCCAGGAGGTTAGAGCGGTCCCTCTCTCGGAGGAGGAGAGGTACACTTTGGCTACAGTTTGCTTTGGGCCTTGTGGTAGCTCTCTCTCTCTCTCTCTCTCTCTCTCTCTCTCTCTCGCGCGCGCGCGCATGCGGTGGAGTTACAATGCCATATGCTTCAGGGGTGGGAAGAAAAAGAGGGAAAGGATGGAGCTGGGATTCCACTGTTCTCCTCAAGGATGTGACCCAAGTGGCATACTACTAGGCTTCATCGTTTGAATTTTTTTACCACCTCCAAATAGCAGCACTCCAGGGACTGAGGTTTTCACACACAGAACTTTGGAAGTCATTGTAGGTCTGAACCATAAAAAGGCACCCCTTACCCTTGCCCTAGATCCAATTGTAAGGATGCTCAGTGGCCCCCCACCTTTGAAACTTGTCCTGAACCTGCCTCCCCGCTAATGCACTGGGATCACTCCAGGCCAAGCTCTTAGCATCTCTCCCCTGTGTGCCTGCATCACCGAGGACTTGAAATATATATATTCATGCCCTTGAACTCCTCCTTGAGGGATGCTATTGAATCTTAAGTCATACCATCACCCTCCTCTGCTCAGAACTCACTAGTTCCTTCCCAGGGGGAGAAAAGGCAATGCCATCTTCTTGACCCTAAGGATGGCAGGTCAGAACCTATTGTCCCCCTTTAATGGCTACCATTAGTACTTCCCTTGTAACCTCTTTCTGCTCTTTAATGGGCTCCTGCCTCGGGCCTTGGCATCTGTCCAGCCCTGCACAGCTCCCACCCCTTACCTACTTTGAACCTATCGGCCCTGGCAGATTACGTCTTCCTCAGTGGATCATTTGCTTCCTGCATGAAGCCCCAGACCGTGTGGGAGGAGCGCCGCCGGATCGGCTCAGCTGAAATAGTACTAACACACCAGAAGAAACTGATGCACGGCTTCTGTTTTAGCTGCCTCCCCATGGTTGCCACAGCAAATGGCATCATGGCATGTTGCTTTCTATGCATTTGTGTGTGTGTGTGTTCATAAATGATATATGTCTTTTATTGGCGCATGAGTTTTAAAGCAACCCTTATACCACATCGTGTGTGAGCCTCACACATGGCCTGAGCCACTCTGGACTGGAGACCTGGTGCTCCCATGACCATCACAAAGTAGTACTTGATTGTTTGGCTTTGCACGCGCATACTTGTGTGAATATGAACTCACAGCTTCAAAAGGGAAAACTGCCTCTAACAGGCATCTGTGGGTTTTGAGTGTTTTCTGGCCCCATGATGTTGGAGCCCCCATGGCGCCAGATGTTGGGAGTGAAAAGTACTTCCTGCAGGACCCGCAAGTCCTGGCCCTGGAGCTTAATCTGGGTCCCTAAAGCAAGTGGCTGGGGACTCCTGTCTTTGCAGATGAGCCTGGTTTTATTTCATGACAGTTTTGAAGGCTGATAGCTCAGCCTAAGATGCTACATACACCATTCCCAGCCCCATGTTGTTGACTGCTCTGGTGAAGGACTCCCTAAAACTGTGGCTTTCCTGGGCCAGTCAGTACTGAAAACAAAGCTTTTCAGTGTCTTCCCATGGAGCTGTTGCCCAGCCTCCCGCGGCTTAGTGGGGGAGGGATTTATAATGGCGTGCTGTTAGGTCTGTCTATCTGTGGGCTGTGTTACTAGGCACCCCTGAAACAATCCCACTTGGACCCAGAAGGCTTTTGTTGGAGGTTCAAAGGCGTGCAAACTCCGAAGGTTTGTGGTTCCTTTGTACGTGCTGGGGGGTTGGATGTCTGTGGCGGAGAACTGAAGTCCAGTCAAAGAAGTCACTTTTGAAGTCACTTCAGTATTGTTTGAGCTGCTTCCAATGGTGTTCAAAGAGCCGTTACAAAGTCTAGAAATATACTAAGAAGCAAAAGTCACCCGAGATCCTGCCACCACCTAATCCTCAGTGTATCTGTGATGTATTTATTCTACATTATTCCTTGTATTGTAGCATGAAAGATTTTGGGGGGGGTTATTAGTACTGCTTTGTGGTGGGGCTCACAGCACATCTTTCAGGATCTTCTAAAAGGGTAAAGTTAGCATTTTGTAAATTAAGAGGCCAGCAATTTGCTCATGAATCTGTGATACGGGAAGGGCTTGGTGGAGACAATTCCGCTCTATGTAGTGGCAGCCACTATGCTTATAGGCCCGGGGGCTGACAATGGCAGTTGGGTGGGAGCTGTCAGAACAGCTCCATGCAAGCCTTGTGTGGCCGTCTGTATTTGTTGACAATATGGAGGCTATATTTGTGGATAAGGCCCCAGACATGACAGCAACAGAGTTTGCAGGAGCTGACTTCACATGGTATTGCTTCCCATGAACTTTATTGAATGGGGTGGTCTTACGTTGTTTGTCTAACCCACCGATGGGAGGAGTGTTGACCACACAAAGGAAAAAGAGCATGTGAGAGGGTGTCTGAGAGGAGGCTTAGCTCAGAAAACACAGTGGCACTGGTCCCTAAGCCCTGAAGGCCTGGAGAGAAGCCTTAATATCATTAGCATATTATTCTTATTAGCATGTTACTGCTAGCATTACTGTTAGGCTGGGAACTTATCAAGGGCCTGGCACATACTGGGCAAGCTCTTCACTATTGAGCTTTATGTTCTTACTTTTTATTTTGAGACAGTATTGGTCTTGAATATATGTTGTGGCCCAAGATCGCGTTGAACTTGTGATT